CTAATTCCCCAGTTGACATATAATCCACGCGTTGACAGTAATAACACTTACATGTATACATGTATATGTATTCGATGCAAAGGCGCGACTTATCACTTTATATTCGCTTAGGTAACATTACGAACTTTAGATTATGGAAAACAACTAGTTACAATTCAGTAAACTTCAAATTAGTAAGTTCAATTATGTTTAATCTATTCGAGCTTGGATGTATAATTACTTGTGTTTATACATTATGTTTCAGTATATGAAACATGACAACGTAATGATGCCTAAAAAGTAAATTCAAACTATTCTATTGTGTTTGAATTCTTTGTATGTCCTTGAAATTTCGTATATGTTTCCTATTTATTAGGTAGTTGAAGGAAATATAATTTTTAGTAACCTCTAAACCATTACATCCAATTCAATCAAGGTGCATACGAAGTATTTTAGTATCCATTCCCAAGGAAGAGTACCAGGCACTTACCTCTATAAAAACATCATAATCCCCTTTCTCTTGTTTGAGTGGCATTTTAGAAGTTGAGACGTACAATATATAACAAGTTTTATGGATAACAACTTCTTTATTTTCGTGAGTGCGACGTTTCGATACAGATTCTTGTACCGTTGTCAAGCAAGGAACGCAACCACTACCCACCTGAAATAGTCAACAGAACCATCGAAGCAACGCTTTCACCTCCTGCCAAAAGATCTAAACCAGAATCAGCCCCCATCAAGATATCCATTCCCTACATTGGTAAACCATCACACCAAATCAGCCGACTCCTGAAACAACAGGCAGGAATAGACACTACCTTCTCAGCGTCCTCCAGCCTCAACAACCTCCTCCATGCCAACGGAAGAAAACAACCCACCGTCAACAACAACAACCCGAAATGTGTTATTTACAAAATAGACTGTGATTGTGGACAATGCTACATAGGTGAAACATCCCGACCCATCAACACCCGAAGTCAAAGAACATCGCACCTCTGTTGCTAATTCCGACACCAAATCAGCTATCTCTGACCACATCAAAGCCAACCCCAATCATCAAATAGAGTGGTCCGACATCACCATTCTCGCCAACAACCAAAACGGACTTCACTAAACGCAAGCTCACAGAAGCCATTCACATCAAACGCCACAAGCCTACCATCAACCGTGACCAAGGATACTTCATTCCATCTGCTTATGATCCACTCCTCCACCAAGCCCAGTCTATTGTATAAACATCGCATCCATTGTATAAACATCTCATTGTAACTACATCTCTGGCTTCCACTCACTATCCTTTATGTACTTACTGGCTTCATCAGCTCACTGCTTAGCCAATCATGGCAATTATGTTGTTTCCTTTGTCTATTATGTTGTTTCATTGTTATATACAGTATATATATGCAGCTCCTACACTTCATGTATCACTCTTGCTTGACAACGGTACAAGAATCTGTATCGAAACGTCGCACTCACCAAAATAAAGAAGTTGTTATCCATAAAACTTGTTATATATCCCCTTTCTCGCCGACATGCTTTCATTTGCTAAACGCTGTACAAGCCTATGATAATGATTAGCAATTGTTATCAAAACACTTTAAAGAAGCACTAAACTTTGTTTTTTGTTACTCTTTTAACCATTACATATGAAAGATTTGTGGTTAGTCTTATGCGGAACACCAAATTTATTCTTTAAAAACTTGTGGTTAATTAATACCGAGCGATTAAAAGTGGCCAAAAAGTCGCCTGCTTCTCTCTCGCCCGCCAACGAAACCACAGACAGGTTACGTAACTCTGTCGCCAGAGCACTGCAGTGACGTCATATGAGGAACGATTTTCAGTTAGTTTTATAGAAAGTGTGTAGCACGCTCATCATTTTGATGATTTCTCGACATCAACGACGACATGCCCGAATCGTTATGCGTTGTCGCCAATTGCTCCTAGGGGTCGGGCGATGGTGTCACCATGCACAGATTTCCACAGGACCCGCGGAAGTTCGTACAAAATGGGTTATGTTTGTGAGTCGCGAAGGAGCGTTGTGGAAGCCTGAAACCATATCTTACTTGTGTTCAGATCGGCTTCACGGAAGTTAAAGAATCAAAACTACTTGCTAGCTGTAGTAAAATATGTATATGATTGATGACCATAAAGATTTTCCATGACACAACTTGTAACATAACGATTTCTTCCTCGAAGTAAGGTTGTGGTCGAGTAACAATAATATTGTAAGTAGGTATTATATTGACACCCACCTCGCTGCCAGGAGAGAAATTTTTATGTTATACGCTATGTCATGCAAAATCCTATTGGCCATCAATAAAATAAATATTTACTACCAGTAGAAAGTAGTTTTGATTTTGTCAACTCGGGTGAAAACAAACCTAAATAGCATTTATCCTCAGACTGGCGGATGTTCCCGACAGAGCCGCCATCATTTTGAAAATCGTAAGGTCTGTTAGAATTAATGAGATTATAGTTTGTTTTCATCAAGTTAGAAAATCAAAACTACTTTCTACTCGTAGTTAAATATGTATTGGAATCATAACCAAACGGATTTTGCATGACACAACTTATAACATAACGATTTCTTCTTCCACGGCCGGCGGTGGGGGTCGAAGTTACAATACTCGCGATCAATATTTCTTGCTACATTCCCATGGTTAATGTCCACTCACCAGTATGTAGATACTAGTCAGTAATGCGTCTTTATATTTGGTCTTATAATCCTAATTAGTTTGTTATCATACTTGTATGCATTTTGAAACTAAATAAAACCAGACGATCTGCTGATACTTACAGTGAATTTATAACAGAACTGTAATAGCTAGACATTTTATAGTTTGCCAATGTGAATCATAATCCGCACAATACACTCTAGTGTATGTTGTCTGTCTCATTACACTTCACGCTGAAAACAATGATTCTGTTGAATGCTACGACAAATGAATAAAAACAAAATGCAAATATTAAAATTAAAACAGATTAAAGTTATAGGAACAATATCAGGCCATTACCTTGTTCGAGAGAATGTATCCATCAATATCCACAAAACTGTTCCAAATGATGTGTCTTTTTAACAGTTTAATATACCTAAAAAGTGATCAATCTTTTCAGGTATTGGTGTATAGTCTCATTGGTCACCCAAGATAGCACACCTGGCAACTAATTGCATAATGTCCGCTTTCTTTAAAAACAGTAATTTAGTTAGCCAATAATGGGCAATCAATCAATGTATTGCCGGTTAATCCTTTGAACGAAGCACGTTGTTTTTACATGAACACCGATTACGACAGAGTGTATTCAGTATAGATTAGAAAATCAACATACATAAACACTACCTTTGACAATTCCGCTAATGTAAGATAAAAGTAATTAATCAATCAGCGTGTTATCGGTTAATCCTTTGATCGATGTTTATAATGTTGAATATTTACTCCAGACACAAGAAATGCCAAATGGGAACCTTTGTCGGGTAATCTAAGTGTGTTACCACTAATTATACCTGTTATAAATTCATTAACTGACCATCAAGTGAATGATGACAAAAAACATGTGTAGGTTTTTACCACCTAACACGGGTTACAACAAGGGAGTATTTATTGCTGTATTGCATGTGAAAACTTATGGGCCGACACTGTTTTGAGAATACAAACAGATTTTTACATGACATGATTAAATATCAATAAAAAATCACAGAAATGGGATCAATTTGGATCAGTCATTATACAAATAGGGGTTTCATTTATAACGATGCCAGTTAGTGATTTATGTATTTGTACCCCCTAGGGTTTATGTGACCTTTAAATACTTCTTCTGATTGATACTGAAGGTGGGATCTCTAGTAAGAAAAGCTAACATTTGCTCAGTACTGCTAAATTGGTTGAAATAATAGGTACAGTGCGATTTTTAAAAGTACAACACACATGTGCGTCTCTCGCTGAAAAAGAGGTGCTTTCTGTTGACGACTGTATGGGGCTCTCGCTGTGAGAAACTGCTTATTACCTGCCCCATAAACACGTCACTCGCTGTGAGGAGCTGATTAATTTGCCCCATATATGCGTCTCTCGGCCTTAATGAGTTAATAAAAATTGACAGGAAAGCAAGGTTTCCGGATGTCTGGAGTCCGGGTATCTCACTGTATATTGTGCCAATGCCTGGTTTCCAACCTGCAATACTTTGCTTACTAGCTTGACGGTTTTATCCACTAGGCTACGAAGGCAAAAATGTGATTGTTTGTCAGTTATGAACCATGTGTTCCTCACTAGATTGGTAGTGTGTGGACTGTGGCACATGTTTTGTGCATGCAGAGCATGTGCACTGCACATGTAAGGCAAAGTATTGGCTGCCAGTCGCATCCCAGTTGATTTCAACAGTAAATACCAAATATTAAAATTATATTTTATGTATTTCTTCGGTCTGTTCATTAGTAGGATCAAAACCTCCTCCTTTTGATCCTTCATATATTTGTATTGTAGAGTACTCCCCCTCTGACATGTTAGACTGTTCCTGATGAGGAAGCAAATGTGTATTTTTCCTGATATAAATAACCCTAACAATTATCAGGGCATTTCTCTAACAAGTGTTGTTGGTAAAACATTTGTATCTATTATCACTTACTGGTAGATCAGCCAGGCAATCAACAAGTGTGTGCAGTGAAATTTCAATTGCAACACCTGGCTGTTCTACCAGCAAACAAATAGCAAAAGTCACAACAAAATAATGATCGTTTGTTGAACAACTTTTTTATTCGGGTGTCCAAAATTATGACACAAATCATCAGAGTTGGTCTGTCGATTCATATGACTGTGCAATATGTGGAGTTGTTGCATTTATTAGATTTTGTGTTGGTGAGCAATTCATCGGTTCAAACGGGCTGTAGCTGTATACCAGTATTTAGTTTTTGCACCATACTCTTATCATCTACATTTGTCACTTTAATATTAGTTCACATTCTTCTCTTGCCACTTATCACTGAAAACATTATATGCTGCTTCATAAGATTCTGTTTGATTTTTTTCCAGGTGGTTCTTCAAAAAATAAACTTCAGTTGTTCATCGAAACAATGGTTGACAGTCTAAGTGACTTAGCACGCCACAAGTCACAGCCGACATTACATGTGCATATTGCAGAACAACAGCAGCATGTTGTAGATGAATTGAAACAGATCCTACAGCAATACCTGACATCATGTGGATATGGTAAGGGTTCAGCAGACAACCAGAAGACAGAAGCCTCAGGAGGGGAGCAATGTTTCATCTGTGTCAGTGCCATTGTTAATCCAAAGACACTTAAGTGTGGACATACATTCTGTACAGAATGCATTGATGCTGCATTCAAACACAAGAAGATGTGTCCCACGTGTAAAACTGTATGTGGAGTGATCACAGGAGACATGCCTCCAGGACATATGAAAGTCATTGAGTCTCGGTCGAGTTTGCCTGGATATGACAAATGTGGAACCATAGAGATTACATACAGTTTCAGTGGTGGTCGTCAAAAGGTAATCTGACAATATAATGCAATGTTTGGTTATCTTTGAAGTTTATTGATTTATAACTTTCCATATTGTAAGCAGCTATATATTTACCCATTGTCAGTTTGTTGTCAATTTACTTGAATACATGTGTAGCAGGTCAGTGAATGTAACACAACAACAAACACACGCTACGGGTGTGAGCTATTGCCCAAAGGACCATTTATTCGTCGATAAATAGCCCTGAAACATTTATAGAAATAATGATACATTAATACTACACATAATACAATCATCAATGTTGCAATAGGTCATACTAGTAGTTGTAAACAGACTAGATAACATACAATACACAGTAAGGTTACAACCAATCTTACCAAGTATATAGCACGATATATATTGATAAATATTCTAATTGCAATGAGATTATGAACTTTTTTACAAATGTACTCATATAGTAAATGGGTAGGAGGTTAGCTGATCTATATTACACTTCTTAAGTAATGGATATACATGTAGTTAATTGTACAAAACAGTATGACACATCTGATAATCATACAGATATCAAATCGACAATATAAGCACTGAGCCTACCCTGGGGTGTCGACCAGCACAGCAATGTAATATATCCAGAATATATCTGAATAAAATATATATATACTCTCATAACTAAGAGTAACACACAATTTCTATACTACTTTTATGCCTTATATTGCATACACACATACCACAACACAATTTAAATAAGACTATATCTGCAACACATTCAGACTCTTATCTCATGCGCACAAGAGTAAAGATATAGAATAGCTGTTTGTTAGTAATTACAAAAGCTTACAATTTAGAAGCCTAGTTTAGCTTATTTATGTAAATAGATTATAGATGAGATTTAGATAATAGCAAATACCTAGTTTACTTTAATAGAACAGGTTTAATGTACTGCAACATATAAATGCAATAATATAAATATATAGAGATATATTGAACTAACATGATTTGAAAAGTATTCCTGTGAACTTGTCTGTGAAGTGACTTTGTGCAGACTGAGTGCAGGCTGTGAGACAAAGGATTTAACTTGGAGGGTTAGCTTGTAAACATGATTTAGTTCCAAGTAGTAAATGTTCCGTTTCGGAATAAATGCCGTGAAAAAGAGAATGGATGACACGAATAAAAAATCCGCACATACGGCAAATATTCCATCCAACAGGAACAAATATCATATGCCTAACCTATTCCAGTCATTATTGAATGCAAAATGGCCTCATCCAACTTGTCAACATCGAGGATGTCTACTAACTTCAACTTGGTTACATACTGACTGTAACCTGGCTACAGACTGAATGTAACTTGGTTACATGTTGACTGTAACCTGGCTACTGACTGTAACCTGGTTACAATTTGACTGTAACCTGGATACTGACTGACTGTAACGTGTTACATGTTGACTAACCTGCCTACTGACTGTAACTTGATTACATGTTGACTGTAACCTGGCTACTGACTAACTGTAACTTGATTACATGTTGACTGTAACATGGCTACTGACGAACTGTAACTTGGTTGCATGTCGACTGTAACCTGACTACTGACTGTAACTTGGTTGCATATTGACTGTAATCTGGGTACTGACTGTAATTTGGTTACATATTGACTGTAACCTGACTACTGACTGTAACTTGGTTGCATATTGACTGTAATCTGGGTACTGACTGTAATTTGGTTACATATTGACTGTAACCTGGCTACTGACTGGCTGTAACATGGTTACATGTTGACTGTAACATAGCTACTGACTGTTACTTGGTTACATGTTGACTGTAATCTTGCTACTGACTGACTGTAACTTGGTTACATGTTGACTGTAATTTTGCTACTGATTGACTAAAACTTGGTTACATTTTGACTGTAACCTGGCTACTGACTGTAACCTGGTTACATTTTGACCGTAACCTTGCTACTGACTGACTGTAACATGTTACATGTTGACTAACCTGGCAACTGACTGTAACTTGATTACATGTTGACTGTAACCTGGCTACTGACTGACTGTAACTTGGCTGCATATTGACTGTAATCTGGCTACTGAGTGTAACTTGGTTACATAATGACTAACCTGGCTACTGACTGTAACTTGGTTGCATATTGACTGTAATCTGGCTACTGACTGACTGTAACTTGGTTGCATATTGACTGTAATCTGGCTACTGACTGTAACTTGGTTACATATTGACTGTAACCTGGGTACTGACTGACTGTTTCTTGGTTACATATTGACTGTAACCTGATTAATGAAGGTAACTTGGTTACATAATGACTCTGAACTCTTTTTAATACAAGATTCATTTAGAATCATCAGTTCGGATTCTGGGGAATCCATTTTCATCAAGAAATTTAAGGAACTTTCACACATGATAATTGCTTCTTGATAGCCACATGATTTGTTCCATATGGAACATATGGAACAAATACTGTAGGAAAATTCCTTTTTTCCTTTCCGTTCTCCCAACGCCCCAATTTTTAAGACCACCCAAACAAGCAAAACCCTCTTTTAGACACTTTATGATGTGTGTGGAAATTCCTATTTACCCGTAATACATTCTGTGTATGCGGAACGAAATAATTGTTCCGAATGCACTATTACAGGAACAAATATTGGAATGAACCAAATCTTTTTTACAAGCTTGGCCAATCAGTTGAGCATGTCATGGATGGGTTTGTTAAGGGCTTGACGGACACATGACCTATATCTTACCTATCCCACTGATTAATATATATACAGCACAGAAAACATTAAAATAATAAAATCCCTATGTACAAAGTTATATCTGCCACACATGGCCCATTGCCTTGCAACGTTCTTCAAACCACAGAATAGGGAGAGCACAGAAACTTAAAGGTCACATGCAACCAAAAAATCAAACATAATTAAAACACAATTATCACTTATTCATGACATATAATATACATTGCTGGTTACGAATTTTTTTTATATAAACAAAATTATAAGCGTACAATCGCAAATCGAAAGTGCAAAATTGTGTACTTCGGTTTACTTCCCAAGAAACGAAGAAGCCGGGACACCGAACCCAGTCAGAACGGGTGGGTGTGCACTCAAGTGTAACGGCTGGTTCATTTGCAGATGCCTTCATGGCTAATTGTGTGTATATATATAAAGAGATGTTGGGTTTTGTAAATACATGCTCATTATTTGTGTATAACATTTTGCAATCAACAGACATCATAACATGTCATGTGTTCAAGTATCACACCTGCCTGTCTGTGTAATTACATAATGTGACAGAGACCGAACTCCGGCCATAAATCAATGCATTTTGTTTATGGTGTATAGCCTGATTGGTGTTAAGTTCAAATTGCAGTGGTCAGTGATAGCAGCTGTGTATTGAATATTGTCATTAGCAGACAGGCAGGCAGACACACAGGTGTCAATAAAACAAGACATTGAGTTTTGTCTGTGACAACGACATATCTATATCACAGTTAGAAATTCTGTCAACGCTAAATAATGACATTGCTTTTAAGTATCGAACAGAGAAAGTGTCTCGGTAAGAAGAACGTGTGGTGTAATAGACAAATGAAATTATATAAACAGTTAATTTACTGTCATAACATATAAAAAGCTCGCGCCTGTGAGATATCAACAAAACATTAGAAAAATAGCTCACACCAAAGCCTTCACCGAGTATTCACCCGACAACCCGCTTCCAAGCTGAGCGAACCTATTTACTTGCGCACGTGCTATGAGCGCAGCCCAGCTGTTGAAACCCGTTTTCCCCAGATAAGTCTGGGGAAAATTAGTGAAACGTTTGAATTCCGATTTCGCGCGGTTTTTTTCATCGCGTTATTTTTAAACTTTATAAGTTGAATTTGCATTTTTGACGATTTGTTTCGGTATGTCCATACCGAAAGGTATCAGAATCTGCAAAGTTGTGTTTTACGTTGCATGTGACCTTTAAGGATGCCTTTAGGATACGGAACGGTTCCTGATGGTAGCAGTTAGAATTTTTAGATTTTTAGACTTATCCTATGTCACGTCATGCACTTTCTCTTGTTCTTTCATACTTGGAGTGCAAACAAATTTAATCAATATTTTCCACCTCTTCTAACACCTCAGCCAAACACACCCCTACTCCAATTATTGATAGATAGTCATTGGAAGCTCATGCAGAGAGCGTGACTTTCATGGCTGATCATGTGACTGGCAGCTGGAATCACTCTCATCCTTGCCACCACATGTGCAGGAGACATGTCTTATGTAGTGATTATTTTACATTTTATATATACTACAAACAAATAGTATGGGAACACCGTACAATTTGAAAGTAATACATAAACTCTATACTCTAAGGTCATTTATACTCTAAGGTAAATGGAATTTTTGTGTGTGCTTGATGGGCAGTGTACACGACATGTTGGAACATGCAGTGAAGCAACTGATTCAATGTTCATTGAGTTTGAATGAAATGAAACATTGTCAAAAGCAGCGAATAACAAGGGTGCTGAAACACACCAGCACCACGTTTGATTCAAACACTCAATGACAAGGGTGCTAAAACACACCAGCACCATGTGTTTCAGCACCCTTGGTTTTCGCTGTTTTTGACAATTTTTTATTTCACTCAAACTCAACGAATACTGAATCAATCACTTCCAACATGTCGTTTAAAGTGCCCGTTAGCACACAAAAAGTTGCATTTACCTTAAAGTATAAATGACCTCTCAACGTTTAAGTTTATGTATGACTATCAAATATTAGGGTGTTCCCATACTTTTGGTTTGTAGTATATCTTTATTCCTTCGGATATTGGAGTTTTGTTTCATGTTTAAAAAGAAAGAAGATATAAATAATATAAGTAGAATAAAGAATGACAACTACGAAAAGTTCTATATAACTATATATGAAAGACAAACATATGGGGATCAGTTACAACATGCGACTCACATAAGAGGATAGTCAGTGCAAGATGTAAGGGACTTTCCCTTGCACGACCCTCATTCATCTTGTCTTGTCTGATTGTATCAGATTCTTTATCAAGAAGGAATCTTAGCCTCTATGAAGATGGTTTGACAGTTCTTACTTTCACTGATGACCTACCATTGATGCATTCTTGGATGTTCTTGCGGACTCTCTGATCTGAAGCATCGTCTCCGAACTTTTGAAATATTGAAAAGGAATCTTTGTTTGATTCTCCGACACCTGATCAACTCATGTCTCTACTTCAGGATGCTAGAATCAACTTAGCAGGTTGTTTTGATATAATCCCGATGAACTGAGGCTCCAAATGTGATGAATTTGACGCTGTAGATACAGATAAAAATCATTTTCCTCCCCACTCATAAAGACGAAAAGAAGGGAAGTTAATTTCTCTCCTCCTCAGTGGCAAGATTGATGCTCGTGTACGATGTCCCTACGCAGAACAGGTTCTGACCCATTGACATCAATTCCCCATGGCTGTTTTTTGATAAGCAACTGGGCAAGATGGTTACTCTCAGGATGTTGTGCAGTTCATACAATCAAAAGTGAGATCATTTTGATAATAGCAGAAGCCTCTGGGTCTTCAGCCCATTCCTTCACACTCAGGAGGCAGCTGCAATTACATGCGCTTCAAGTCTTCTTGTATCCATATGCTCAGATCACAAGATTTGGTCCAAGTTCCTCTAACAGGCCTAGTTCATTGGGTTCTATAATGAACTTTAGTTAACCTAGAATATACATCTGCTTTAGGTCATGCCCTTTTGGCCAACACGAAGCTTGTTCATAGATCTGTCAAACCTTTCAGACCCCAACCCTCAGGGGCACAATGTGTTGATCTTTCCTCAATTCAATCTTTTTTACTGGTTTTTCCCTCATCTTCACACTTGGCCTATCTCCAGAGATTATTGATTGCTGACGGATGTTCCAAGAGAGTTGATAAGCCAATCACGTTGGCTCATCACACATCTATTCACTCTCTTTTGATGGTAAATGGGAGTGTTTTGAGAAATATTGAGAGAAGAATAGTATCTCCTCTCAGACTATGACTTCGTCTCAGACGATCATTGGCTATCTTCACCTTTGCATTCATAGAAACACAAGAGATCCACGTTGTCCATGAAACACAATATGATTGACACATTTGTGGCCAGTGACAGGTAACACGATATCTCCAGTTCCAGATCTTCAATCATTGTTGAGTTCCACTTGAAAATGTTTTGTCAGCTAGCATGGGATTTATTATTAGTTATGATGCATCTCACCACAGTTGACTATGAATCTCTGTGATTGTGAGCTCATCATCCATAAGCTGATGCTACTGCAACCCATATTTCAGAACTCAGTTTACAACGTGCAGGGGCTTTACATTTTTGAAGACCCTTGGTCATGGTGCAGCAACATTTCACACCCCGAAAACACAGATAGTAATTTACAGGATAAACAGTTTTCATTATTTTACTATGGGTTCTTATGAGGTTGAAATCCAGCTGCTATGACTTCATCATAGGTTTTATAATTTGCATACCAACAGAGGCAAGTCAGATGAAAACAAATGTGATCCACATTCATACTCTACGCCTGCAAGCAATCACATTAGTGGCAAAGCAGTACTTCCTGTCTTTTAGTTCTGTCATTTCTTCTTTGACAAATGACACAGCAAGATGCCCAATAACTTAAGATCTGGGAGTTTGTATCAATAAGGGTATTTTTAATTTTGAGCATCCCATCACAAGTGAGACTACAACCAGGATGAGACAACTTCAGGATAAAAAGTCTTGGCCAGCCTCCTTTTCCCTACAGACGAGGGTAATGTGCGGACAACCATCCAACCATGGGATAAGTGCATAATCATGTGAGATAGAATATGTTTTAAAAATGGAGCATTATAACTCAAAATTGTATATGAATGATTCTTATCCTATCTCACACAATGGATTCCCGGACCAACAACACTACACAGATTACAGGATGGTTCTGGCTCTAGGACAAGAGAATGACGCCAACAGTCAGTCACCTGATCAGTTTGGGCAGATCACATGCTTTGCATGAGCTTTCAGTGACTGATGCAACACAAAGAGATTCAGATTCCAGTATCAAGCAGAATAAGAACCTCATCATATTTTAGTAATATTATTAATATACACCTCTCACATACACTAATCATTTTTGTTTAATATTTTGTTGTACTAACCTCTTTGGAGGTTGTAAATTTGTCCTATAAAACCTGATGAGTAAAAGTAATCTAAACATCTAATGTTCTAAAATAAACTGCAATTGATGAAACTATTTTATAATGGATGATGGGAATAGAACCTAAAATCAGTTTGTTATAGATATAGATATAGATAACATGTTATAGATATTTCTTACTGCCATAGTTTGTAGTTGTAAATCTTTATGAAGAAATACAGAAATATCACAAGATGTGGAATGTCGAGTTTCTACATTAACCTGGAAGTGTAACATTTTACTTGGTGAAATATGTTAAATGTTTCAGAACTGATTATTTATGTTCCTTCAGTTAGAACATCCAGATCCTGGGAAGTGGTATAATGGCATCACACATATAGCTTACCTACCAAACAATGCTGAAGGACAGAAGGTCCTTGCTCTGCTGAAGGTGGCTTGGGAAAGACGTCTGACGTTCACTATTGGCAGGTCTGTTACTATGGGCAAGGATAGCTGCATCACATGGAATGAAATACATCACAAGACACATATAACTGGTGGTCCAACAACGTAAGTCATCTTATTGCATCTGTCTTCCACCATCAAAGTTTTAGTTGTTATCTCACGAGAACGAGACGGTCGGGTAGCCTAGTGGTTAAAGCGTTCGCTGGTCATGCTGAGGACCTGGGTCCGATTCCCCACATGGGCACAATGTGTGAAGCCCATTTCTAGTGTCCCCCGCCATGATATTGCTGGAATATTGCTAAAAGTGGTGTAAAACTAAACTCACTCACTCACTCTCACGAGAACATGTACTTATAGCTGAGTACCTGTCAATGTACCCAAATTAGACCAGGTGCCCCTTTGTTTATTTCTATCGATTATTGGTTTGCTGGTCTAGACTTCGGCTACTTACAGATCAGCATCATATAGCTTTGCTGACTTAGTATAATACACTTCTCACTCATATGCACTCTCTCAGATATATTATCTCAAATTCTCATACAGCTTTTACAAGAGTAGCATTAGAAAGGATTTAATTTAGGAGATATTCCTCAGGAGGGATTGATGTTGATTCTATTCTTTAAATGAGTATGGCCACATACTGTATTGTGAATACTAGTACTTTCCTATTTACTGGAGCTATTAGGTATCTGAGAAGGGTCAACATGCCCTGAATGACAATAATGTCAGTGTCATGCATGTGATTATGTTGTCTCAACACTCCTTTTACAAGGAAGCATCATTAAATATAGGCTTTGTATATATTTGTATGTATTTCATTCACCCACTTATCAAGCCATATGTAAAATAAACAGATATTTTATTGCTCACATTTTATTTGTTCACGTTTGGTTAATACAGTCATGGCTACCCAGACCCTGGCTACTTGAAAAGAGTTCAAGAGGAGCTAGCAGCCCAGGGTGTGACAGAGGCGGATCTGGGGGCAACTGGCTCATCTGTCTAAGCAGGAACTGTGACACAACAATGAAGTAGTTGACTGACAACTCCCCTGACAAAAGAAGTGTTTCCATCCTCATATCTGAAGTTCATTCAGGGTTTATTGCACAGGCTTGCTATGATGACATCTGCTCTGTGTGTTTACATGAATTAAATACAGTACAAGAGAACATTTGTAATTGTTGAAATACCTGCATATTGCAATATGTGTTCGGTATTATGAAAACAACCAACCATCTTTTTCTTTTATATCAGCACCACAGTATTGCAGTATCAATACTGATGTAATACAATATTCTCCAATATTATTCATTATGATTTGTTTCTTTGCAGAATGTTTTATGTAGGTTTTGTCAGTTGAACTATGTAACATAATGGAGTTGTCAAAGCCGAAATGTAAGATTTTGAACTGTATGTCTTTTGTAAATGTGTAACAATAGGATTTAATGCATATTTCATCCTATTTCGTTAAATCTTATGTTGTTCGTGTATGAAGCATGGTTGACGATATTGCTATAACTATTTGCTTTTTCACCATAAAAATAACAAGCCATTTTTTTCTGTTAATTTGTTGCCATTGGCAATATCTATATGTTTGAAGGGCAGTGCATTCAAATATGTCACAAACTCATTTCCAAACTGATAGGAGATCCCTGCAAATAGCAAATAGTAAATAACATACTGATTTATGTAAAAACAAGATGAACCACAATACCTATAGTTGTAACTTAGCCATGTACATATATAACAACAAAAACCGTTAAACCTGATGGAAGTTGTAAAACATTTTGTATATATAGTTTTTCAGCAGTAGTTAGAGAGTGGGGGTTTTGGCAGATGCAACAGAGGCTTATTTATGGGATCTAAACCCCCAGCCCCTTAAAACGTTGAGAGTGTAGCCCGAGCCATCCTCCGATGTGCCTCCAACCTAGACCCAAAGTTCGAGCACTGAGCTATCAGCTGGCTCGCCAGTGTGATAGTTAGAACGTTGGACTTGTAATTCAGCGTTTACAGTTTGAATCGGGTAGCGGCGCAAACACTTTTGTGAGTTTGAGTCAGGTCACATGGACATGCAGGGTTGGGAAATCTGGGTCGGGTCATTCCTCCTCGGAGGAGGACTGACCTGTCACGTGACTATATTATGTTGATTCTGGTTTCTAAGCCAAACCAAGATGGCGACCGAGCATAGGAACGCTGACGTCAGAGTATTGAAAACGGAGCTAGGCACACAGCCGTATTAGGGTTGCTGGCTGGTTGTAGCAAAACGATGTTTGAAACAAGTTTATAGCTGAAAAACAATTTATTAGAAGCCACAATCAATTATTTTTGAATCGGGTTACATCAGCTTGGAAAGCAAACAGGGTTTGGATTTAAATGTAACCATAATATTCGGCGACGGCTTTATGGAGAGGGTCTGTCATGAATTCCTCGAAGTGGATTTAGGAGTACAGGACATCGCATTCTCTGGTCTCGAAGCTATAATCGACTAACGTATCTATGAGGCGTTGCAACCGTTGGGTGCCCACGAGACCTAAACTATCGTGACAGGCTCTTGAATTTCCCTCGACATATGACTCGACGCAGGGGGTGTAAATATCGAGGCCATCGACATCCACCCGACGCTGGCGTCTGAACCACCGCTTTCCGATTAGTCTCCACATGTATGGAAACATACGGCGAATCTTTAATAAGGGGGGCAATACCGTGTCTTGAGGGACAATTTGTAATTCCTCTTGCACAAATCCCTACCGGCCCGTCTTGCAAGTAATGCAGATTCGGTTCGTCGTCTTTGATATCCACTCGGTTGATGTGGTACGTTTTCATGGACCCTACAGGGTCTGTGGCATGACGTTTGTCCCCTCCTTCAAGTTCACGGGGCTGGTACAGATACCTCACGACGACCCGGTCCGGTAGTTTTTCTCTTTACCGTGACGCAGTGGTGGTGCAGCTGATTCGGTGCGTCCGCAGTTTCCGCGGCTTTGACGGGTCTTTATCGAGGAGTCGAGTGACTTCGTTGTTGATCGCCAACACCACTCGCGGTAAGCGCACCACCCATTCCGTAGATCATTTTTCTGGGTTGACCATCTCTTTGGCATACTGATGTCCGAACAAACGCTTGGCTCAAGTCCTGTTGAATCTTTCGATCCCCCAACCGAGATGTTGAAATCATAACGGGAGTAAACCTCTGTTGGCCTCGAAAACATCAAAATCTTGTGAGCGATTTACATGCAGAAAAACGTCAACGCTTACGCGAGTCTCGAAGGAGTCACGATTAACTAGGAGAATACAATCGCGCTCACGAGGCTTTTTCTACATCCAAAAATTCATCTCATCAGCTTGAAGTTTACGCATGAGAAATAAATTGTCGGAGAATCAATTGAAGACTCTTCAATAATTCGAGCATAACCATGGGCGACGTGTCAATCAAAGGGCCACCATCGCATTATCCGATCTCGGAGACATGCTAGGATTCGACGAACCTGGGACCTCATTAGCTATAAATATATTAAACAAAGATTGACAGCAGACCAATTGAAGCTAATTTCCTAAACTTGTCATATACTCGACATGGGATTGTATCCGGCCATGGAAGACGTGGCTCAAACGCTCGAAACCGTGGATGGATTTCGGTTGTGATAGATCAGTGAAATTAAACGCCAGTTAGAACAAAAACGCGACGTGCAACTCGGATTGCACAAAAAATACCATCGATCCGTCAATGTCATCGCCTGCGTGGACACATCTCTCGTGGCAGCTGTGATGGGATAAGGGGTAGCAGGCGTCGGCTTATTATCCACCATCGTGGCCGCACCCGTCGTCCTGGGGCAGAAATAGCCGGTGGGGTATCGGGGCTGTCGGGAGTAATGGAAGGCCTTAAAACACGACGAGATCAGGGTTCTGGCTGAAGCCAAGTTGAACACGATCGACGGTCATATTTCCACCGCAATCACCGATAGCAAAATCTCCGAGGAAGAGTTTCGTTTGGTGATGTTGGAAATCGCGAAATACCACCGAATGAAAGAAGAGATTCGAACCAAGACTCGGAAAACCACTGGCATCAGCCAAGTCGAGAAAAAAAAGCTCATAGAACAAGGTCGACAACAAATCATTCAAGACTTCGTGACACAGAACAACGGTACCATAATAGATTCACGTTAAACTGAACGCTAAAACTCCAGCTTCAAAGACTGGCGCGTCCACATCAGATCAGCAGTTACACTCTGTCAGTGGTTGTGCATTCAAGCTATATATAGCTCATACGCTTTGCGAGCTTATGTAACCCGATTCTAAATTAGCCGATTGTGGCCTCTAAACTTGTTTTCAGCGTCCATCGACGCATGCATCGTGATCAGCGGGGTCTAGACTACCTAAGAGCATCGTGGTTGTATTTTATTACACTTTGAATTGAGGTGAAAAGCCACCAAATGTGCACGAGGCGAGGGAGACTGGTTCTGCACTACTGTAGTCAGTATAGATGGAGCCCAGCTCAAGATAAATAATGGATTGTGGCCTCTACAACTTTTTTCCAGCGTTCGTCGACTAATATATCGTATTCAGCATGGCTCAAACTACCTATGGGCATCGTGTTTATATTTTATGAGACATGGATTCGAGGTGAAAAAAGCCACCAAACGTTCACTAAGTATTAAGGCGGAAGTGGAATGACGAGTTTCAGACATCCTTTGCACTACTATAGACGGAGCCCGGTTCAAGAGAATGTTGCAATCTCAGGATAGACCTGTTAAACCGAGCACTCAGCTATCAGGTCCTCTGTGGCTCAGTCGAACGACTCTGTTACCGAGGTTCGAAGCCTGCCGTTCGAAAAAACAACAACACGGAGCTCTAATGGGAGAGCAACCCCACAGGAGAAATACCAGCGCACTACAAACATCATCAGACCAGGGACCAGGCGGGTCTGTGGTCAAAACACCAATTTCTCCCTCCGTGGGTTGTGGCCACAGAGGGCTTTTTGCTATTTTTTTATTTGAACTGACATATAGGAGTATGAACCTCGCTATTTTTAAGGAGGGGGGGGGGGGGGGCTTAGATCCCATAGATAAGCCTCTAAGCCGCATCTGCGGCAAAACCCCCACTCTCTAACTACTTCA